AAAAAGATCCTCCAAAGAGGGGGACGATGGGGTGATATTACATAGAAGAGGAGGAAGGCTGGATGGGGTGAACTGCCCTTTGTCTGAGCTGTTATCTGTCAAGTGCCAACTAGCTTTTTCTGGAATGGTGCCTGGCCAGTGTCAGCTACATTTCAAGGAGGCACACATGCTGATTTCTAGAAAAGAGGTTTTTTCTCAGGGCTGGTTATGCATCACTTATTGCATTATGTAACCAATTAAAGTTCTACCTATTGATTTGTGGATCAAGGCCCTGAACAATTTGGGACCAGGCAACCTAAGGGAGCACCATCTCCCATATCAACCTACCCATTCACTGAGATCTATAGATCAGAGCCTCTTGGTTGTTCCCTCACCTGCACAAGTACCTCTGACAGTAACCAGAGGGAAGGCCATTTTTCCTGTGATATTCCAGCTCTGAAATTCCTTCCTAAAGTGCAGCCTATGGGTATGAATACACAGGCATTTGCTGATTGTAATACCTTTCTTGGAAGATTTTCTTTAGTACTCTTAAAAATTCTGCTTTGTTTTTAATGCATTTTGTACACCACCCTATGATTTGATAACAAAGGGTGGTATATGAATTATGAAATATAAGGTAGGGTATTATTAAAGCATGGGATTCTAAAGCCTTGGTTAAACCATATGATTGGGGCTCAAACTCTTCTACCATACTAATCTCAATATTACCTACTATATTCCCATTTTGTATAAACTATAACTAGTTATCTGCCCCCTACGAATTGTGTTAACTTATAGTGTTGACAGATAATTAAGCAATTCCATGCTTTTGCAGGAATTTTTTGGTAAAACCTAATGCATGTATGTGTAAAGTTTAAAACTGAGTATTGACAAAATGCTTAGAATAATATAAAATGAGAGATGTTCAGTTATGGGACTGAATTTCGAATGTTCCCAGCCATAAATATATTTTTTAAAAATACATTATCAGAAAGAACAGGATCAAAACAGCAGTGGTTTGGAAGGAAAGGGAAGGAACCACAGAACATGGGGCTCTAAGATAAAATTTCATGCTCACATTAACATAAAAATAAACTAACACTAGTACAAAAATATTTTAACAGCTGTCCTATAAACTGTGCAAAGTTAGTAATAAGTTCCTCAAGAGAAAAAGTTTTGCTACAATTTGATGAGATCTAGGTATAGATCTTGATATAGACTCTCTCTGTTAAACCTGAATGCAATTTTTAGAACAACTTGGTCTAGATAAAATATAGTTCTAATCCATTCATACTAAGTTGTCAAATCCACTTAAATAGTTACTAGGACTGGAGCAGTGGAACTTGCTGCCTAACCCAGGCTGTATATTAAAAAGCAGGAGGTGTGCTGCATGCATCTAATTTTCTGGTAACCATATTTTCCCCAGAGTTCTTGGTGCTCTGTATATGCTTTCCCCACAAATCGTTGTATAATGTGTTTTTGTACAAAACACTTCTTTAGACAATATGTTCTGTTTGCACATTAACTGGATTCATCCTATTCTTTTCTTTTTTTTAAATCCCTTTTTCCAGTGTTAAAGGGCACCTACCTTTCCCTTGGAAGCCTGGGCTGCTATTTCACCTGTTGGCAATGTTCTTGATTTATACAATCCTTGCTTCAAGTTATGGACTTATTTACTGGGTTTTTTTGTACTGTGTTTTTCTTAAACTAATCACATCTGGCTGTTCACATTTGAATGCGTTGCAATTCCACATTCAGTTGTTTGCTCCCTCAGTTCTTCAGCCTTCTTGTGAATTTTATCCATTCTTTCTAGTAACTTTGCTTCGTTTTGTGAATCCTTTCACCAAAAAGAGAGCCATCACATGATAGCAGTTTTTAACAATTCACATTCATTCAGGGTTTTCTTAATTTATATAAAGGCTTTTATAGATAATTTGATTAGCAACAGCTCTCAGAACAGTGAAAAGTTAGCATTGGAAATTGTGACAGAACTCCTTGGTAAGGAAACATGAGTTGGTTTCATGTATTTCACTTCAAATACAACTTCATGTATTCCATTCCAAATTCACTTATTTCAGTTCCCTTTGCATGCCTTGCTGAAATGGCCATAACTTTAAACTACCTTTCTCTTCCCAACCTTTTATTTATCTATTCCATTAATCTGCCCCTAATTCATACTGGCTTCTAGCAATTACTGCATTGTCTTCAAGGTGTGTGCAGACTGTTATTTAAAAAGAGTCTTCAGAACCTCACTTACTTACTGAATAACACATTGAAAACCCCCAGTCTCTTCCACCATCTTTATCTCATGTACACTTCTTTATCTGTCCTCTTTTATCTTCCTCTCCCAAATTTGTTGGGTCTATTGGGTTTCATAGCAGGGGGTGAAAAAGATGGTCCAACAAGATGGGTACTGCTGTAGGCTTGGATATTAAAACTGGATTTTTGAAAGCTCTAAATTTAAAGGAATTATTTTACATATTATATTTTAAAACAGCCCTAGAATAGTCGAGTTGGAAGGGGCCATGAAGGCCATCGAGGCCAACCCCAGCTGTTGCAGGACACCAGTTTATACTATCCAATTCGGATGGCTGTCCAGTCTATTTCTGAATGTCTCTAGTCTGGGAGAGCCCACGACCTCTCTAGGCAACTGGTTCCACTGTCATATTGCTCTGACAGTGAGGAAGCTTTTGCTGATATCTATCCTGAACCTGGGTTGTTGTAACTTGATTTAATTATTCCATGTCCTACCTTTTGGTATTAGTGAGAAGAAATCTTGACCTTCCTCTTTGTGACAGCCTCTGAGGTACTTATAGTGGGATATCATGTCCACTCTCAGTCTTCTCTTCTCAAGGCTGAACATGCACTGTTCTCAGATCAGTCTCTCTTCATAGGCCAATGTTTCCAAACCCTGGATCATTTTGTTGCCCTCCTCTGGACCCTTTCTAATTTCCTACATCCATATATGCCCAGCCGCCCCTTGAGATCTGCGGGAGAGGCCCTTCTCTGGGAACCCTCTGTGAAAGAAATTAGGAGGGTAGGTACTCGGAGGAAGGCTTTCTCTGCGGTGGCACCCAATCTATGGAATGCGCTCCCCAGAAAGGTCCGCCTGGCACTGTCGTTATTTGTTTTTCGGCGCCAGGAGAAGGCCTTTTTATTTAAGCGTCATTTTAATTGTTAACAATATCTGCTTATTTATCTGGCCAGGGCGACTTCTTTTATATTATTTATTATTGTTAATTTTATATTATTTTTGTATTTTATTGTGTTGTGAGCCGCCCCGAGGCTTCGGCAAGGGGCGGCATAGAAATGTTTTAATAAATAAATAAATAAATTTATTGCACCTTTCTTAAATCTTGGTGCCCATAACTGGACACAGTACACAGGTGAGGTCTGACCAGTGAGGAGTATATGGGAACTACTACTTCTTGTGATTTGTAAATCATACTTCTATTAATGCATCCCAAAATAGCATTTGCCCTTTTTGCAGCTGCATCATATTGTTGGCTCATATTTAGTCTGTTGTCCACAATAACTCCAAGATCTTTTTCTTTTTCAGTTCTGTTGAGCCATGCATTCCCTATCTTCTATTGATGTATTTGGTTTCTCTTTCCTAGGTGAAGGACTTGGCACTTGTCCTTATAAAATCTCATTCTGTTGCTTTCAGCCCAGTGTTCAAATTTATCAAGAGCACCCTGGATCTTTATTCTGTCTTTTAGGGTGTTTGCTATTCCACCCACTATTGTATTGTCTGCAAATCTGATTATCTTTCCTTGTATTTTCTCATCTAAATAATTAATAAAGATGTTGAAGAGCAATAGACCCAAGGACTGAACCTGTGACACCCTACCAGTTACCTAATAGGTGAGAAGGTGCCATTGATGAGCACTCTGTGTCTGATTTAGCAGCCAGTTTTGAATGCACCTAATAGTTTTTCTATCTAGTTCACTTTTTGCTGGTTTGCATATCAGGATGTCCTGGAGCACTATGTCAAACAGCAGTATACATTATCTGGAGACACACTAGAAGGTTTACATGTTCCAAAAACATGTTTGTTCTCTTACTCCTCAAATTATGCTGTACGTTCAGAAAATGTTAAATGCAGCCTATTGGCATCATTTGACTCTTTTTAGAAAGCACTCCTTATGTTGACGAAGTGGCAAACAGGCCGTTTCCATTACATGTTTTATGAGTAGGGCTCTTCCTAGCTATTCTGTGTACCTAATCAGAAGGGCAGTTCCTTTGATTATTTAAAGTAAGCAACTGTTATCTTTGCTATGACACACACACAGCTGATTTTTGTACACAAAATGTGGGGAAGCCCAAGCAAGGGGAGCAAACATAACCTTTAAGGTAAAGCTCAGTTTAGTCACTCTAAAGAGCATCATCATCATCATGTCTATGATGACAAGAACCTATGAAATCTCTTATTCTAGTGTACTTCAGCGAGCCTTTTAGGCTATCTAGTTGGATCCCTGCTTGATGCAGAAACCTAGCTGAAGAATGCCCTGCTTCTGCTTGAAGACTTGCAGAACCCACTCCCCCTTGGTAATTGCTTTTTTTTTTATCAAACTACCCTTACCATTGAGGAGTTTCTCCTAATGTCCAGCCAAAATCCACCTTACCATAGATGAAATTCCATATATCTAGTCCTGCCATTTCAGACAACTAACATAGATGAAATTCCATATATCTAGTACTGCCGTTTCAGACAACTAAGCGAAACCTTAGTTCGCTTCTTTTTAAGAGCCCTTTGGGCGTTTGAAGAGCACTACCATGCCCTCGTTGTAGCTTTTCCTCTCTGGGCTCAGCGTGCCCAATTCCTTCAACCTTTCCCCATCCTTTCCATAACGCTGACTATCTTGCTTCTACCTCTCCCGAAACTGTTCCAATGCGTCTACTACTTATCCTCCTTTTTAGTAAGGCAACGCCCACTTTGTCCGTTCGGGGACTAAGGACGCCCTGTCTAGAGACAGGGAATTTGGGGTCAGGATCAGACAAGGGGTGAAAGCAGGACTCACAGCTTCTGCCGGCCCCTTCACGGCATGCAAGGAGTCAGTGTGTTCCAGCTTCGGGTTTAAACGCTGCCTGTTCTGCCGCCTCGATTCTCCTTCTGGACCTCTGTCCATCGCGGGCAGCTTTCTAGATAAACGCCCCCCCACCCCCCGCTGCTGGTCTTCCCAGAGGCGGGGTTGATTTGATGAGTCGCTTTTCCGAGCCTTAACGAAGCTCTGTGCAGAGAAAGCGGAACATTTTCCCGACGAGGAGTCGCTTTCTCCTCTCTTTGGCCGTGGCCGAATCGGAGTTGTGCTCCGGCTGCATCAGGAATAGTTCTTCTCTCTGTGCGTCTAACGGTGCAATCGGAGGCATGTCTACTCGGAAGCAAGCCCGATTGAGTACGGGGTCTACTCGTAGAGAGGCGCAAACACTCGTACAGCCTTCTTATGCGCTGCACATTCACTGACCCCCCGCCCCCGCTCGCACAGGATCGGAGGCACGAGACAACCTACATTCTTCAAAGTCTCCCGATCCTAGCCTTATACGAAATAAAGCCTGTAATCCTAAAGCCGTTTGCTGGAGAAGAAGCCTCGTTAAAAAATGAGTTTTTTGTGACTAGGGGAGTGTAAATAGCTTGCAGAACTACATGGGATTAAACCCCATTGAACGTAAAGGGCGAACATTGCGAATGAAGACCCACAGAATTCTTGCAATTATTTGAATGGAGTTTAAAATTCCTGGAAACTGCTCTTAGAACTGAAGCAACGAATAGGTTTGTGGTGTTTCGATCCCAGCAGAGCTGCAGCTCCGTGGACAACGTATCTCCTGCTTCTACACGTTTCCTTTGCCAATTTGAATTGTAGCTGCAACAAGGCAAGAATATTTGCAGTTTACTACTGTATAAATACAAACCCAGCAGAGACAGTTACCGAACTATCGCATACTTGCTGGCAAATTCCACTGCGTTCAATAGGCTTACTACCAAGTATGCATGCTAGGCCGCAGATGTGACCCGAGTACTATGGATTGATGGGTGCTTTATCGTTTCTCACCAGCTTCTCTTCCGCCAGCCGCCCAGCACGTACACTTTTCTGGACCGTACAGGTAACAGTGTAGCAGGTTAAGTGAAAAACAAACGCACGTTTCAGGTATTAAAACAGTTGAAATACAAGACAAGGGTGAAGGGACGGGGGAAAAAAACACTAGAAGAAAATTCAGGCTTCAAACATTGCTTTTAATGATTTCTTTCCTCAAACTTCAAGTTAAATAAATACAAATAGTTCAATAAATATCCCCCATTTTCACATTGTGCCTCCTTTTTCCAATTCAGTGTTAACACTGAAAAATGTTCTAAAACAAAACCGTGGGTTTAAAGGCATGAACAATTCTCTTTAGCTGTAGCTAGTCCAAACATGATTCAAATACTATTACTTCTAATAAATCCCATTGTAGTCTTTAAATATCTGAATGTCATTGGTTGTCTAAGGTGGCAACCATATATGCATTTACCTCCTACTTGAACTAAGTGGGGCCTGCTTTTTGGTAGACAGGTTTAGGATTGCACTGCACATCATGTTCTTGACTGCAAACCTACACAATTTAAACATCGGTTTTGTTCATACATCTTCTAGTTATTCCAACATTGGTTGGAAGTGGATCTGCAAAGTCTAGTTTACCCTAATTATGTACAGGCAGCACAAGCAATGATACCAATATAAAAGCTAACCCATTTCCTCTCAAGGTAAAATATGGTGATTGTTGTGTACCTGCCAATATTGTTTTGATCTCAGTAAGTTAAAACCTTGATGATTCCTGACACTTAACATGATGGTTATTAAGCTGTTTGATAATGTCAAGCTGCTTTTTAACCACTTTTAAGAAATGCACAAATGTATTCCCAGAGAGGTCCGCCTGGCGCCGTCGTTATTTGTTTTTCGGCGCCAGGCGAAGACCTTTTTATTTAAGCAGCATTTTAAATGTTAATATTATTGAATTTTATTCGGCCAGGAGGGCTTATTTTATTTTACTGTATATATTTTAATTGTTACTGTTTTAATGTATTTTGTATTTGATGTTGTAAGCCGCCCCGAGGCCTTGGCAAGGGGCGGCATAGAAATGTTTTAATAAATAAATAAATAAATATTCTGTATTTTAATCTAAGCTGAATATTTAAATTCCAGAAAGGACACCATTGATTTTTTTTTATAACTAAGCCACTTTGCTTTTGCTGCATGATATTAAGGCACTAAATTCAAAGAAGTATTACACTGGCACCTTATGGAACAGACACTGAATGTGTGGAAGCTGAATACGTACATGAAGCTGATACTATTACTAGATTGGGTGCATAGGTACCTGACAAATTAGGTAATAGACTTGTACATAAAATGGTATCAATTTGATATCAAAACTCGACTTTTTAAACAATCTCATTCTTTTCATACATTAGAAAAAGAATGTGTACATTCTTCTCATACACAATCCTTCATGTGAAAAACTTGCAAAGTTAGCAGGCACTTTTTTTCTATATATCTGCAGCAAACAAAGCCCAAAAATCAGTTATTTTGACAACTCTGCATGGTATTGTTTTGAGCCAAAGAACAGGGAACCAGCAAAACTTCGTAAGTGCTGACATAGATTTTAATTTTATGTGCTGCTCTATTCTGTGTTAATAAGAAAACTGGCAAATATTACAGAACATAGGATGGGTGAATGTACACACAATGCGTGCTCAACAGTCAACATGTATGGATAGAATATTGCTGCTTATTGACATCCTATGTATTTCATTGTGCTGTAGAAAAAGAAGTGAATGCCCGTGCAAGGTTTAATTCACTCAAGACAAAATGTGCTATAGTAAAGTAGGAAAGTGCATAAATCTGGTGTGGTATTTTGTCAGGTATAACAAGTGCACACAAACCTTTCACTTTGAAAATATACAGGGAGGGTTACACTCATGGAAACATGATTTCCACAAATGAGAAATGAAAAACCAATTATTTCTTCCATTTATCCTGTAACAGAAGTGTAGACAAATCCAAATAAAATTACTTTCTATAAAAGGACATGATTGTGAACATCACATCATGTAAATTTGTTTTATCTCGGATGTGTTGATTTAAAAAAAAAAAACAAGAATTGCTGTGGACATGTGTGTTTAAATAAGTAACCCAAGCTCTTCAAGAGTTTAAATATGGAAGCAATATAAATCTGTACTCATGGTTTTCACAGCATTCCAGGTACTTAGTCTAAAATGTACTGTTCTGTGCACAAACCCTGTGCTGTGATTTTCAGATAAAGCGCTCCTCTATATTGTCCTATTACAGGAAGGGGAACAGTCAGCAGCTAAGAACAGATTTTGAATTGCTATCACCCCAGGAAGCTGAAATGACCACCCTTGAAGAGTCACAGAATATGCATCCCCGATGGTGTTAAGGAAAGCCTTTGCAAATCAGCAGGGCCCTTTTTCCAGCTAACATGGCCATTAGACATAGTTTTTTTATTGAAGGATAAGGAATTTGCCAACAGCTTTGATTATAGCAAGTGGCTAGTGATTGTGCTTTGGCATTTTGTGTTTAAATATTGTTAGGCGGATTGTCCTGGATTTTACAAACAATGCATACAACCAGTGCTTTTTTTGTCATAGAACGCACTGGAACAGAGTTCCGGCACCTTTTTTCGACAGATTGTCCAAGTTTTAAAAGTAACTTTTGAAAATTTGATGTTTTGTCCACGTGGATTTGAATTGCCCTGTCGAGCGTAGCAGCAAAATCATTAAAATGGTGCGTGCGTGCTGCTTGTGTGTCGAATCCAATACATGCGTACTTCGTCTGCGCTGATTGTGATTGGCCATGTGGTTGCGCACTGAGTGCTTACTGTGGGCAGCGACCGTTATGTTTCATTACACAACTGACGTGTGTGGGTGTGTGTACAGTGATTGACTACGTGCAAAAGGTAAATAATTTCATGAGTTCTGGCACCTTTTTTCTTACAAAAAAAGCACTGCATACAACTATCTCAAATACATAATACAGTGGCTCTGGAAAAAAATATGAAAGGCATAGTTTGAGCAGAGGCATGGTTAAACTGCAGACTGTCCTTGTGAACACACCCTAACATTTGGAGCGGTGGTTTTTAATGACAATGTTAGTGACACAGTAGAAACATTAATGTATTTGGTTAATTATAATCTAAATTGGAGAAAGTAGTATCATTTTGAGTTTGAAAATATGCCTAAATAGAATATTTGCATCTGACAGTTCTAGGAACACCTAAACAGCAATCCTGAAGCCCCTAACTAACCCCTGAGGGACCATAGCGCTGTTCGGAGTCATCCGCCTGACACTAGCAAGGGGCTCATGAGAGATCCCCCCACCCCCCCAAGCTGGTATGAAAAGAAAAATGCCAGCTAGCAGCCCCGGTCAGCAACTCAACTTTGGAGAGGGAGAAAAGGGGTTTTCAGTGGAGAGGACTGGAGAGCCCAGGATAGGTGCTATCCTGAGCTGCTGCTAGCCTCCATCTCTCTAAAACACATTTGCTAGATGTGCAAAAAAAACCCTGTGGAAAACAAAGCAGGGTTGGAGAATGAAGGCAAAGATTGCCTTCACTGCTCTTCCCATCCTGTATAAGCCTGCTTGTAAGAGTCCAAGATTGGGGCTCATAAAATTGAAGTGCAGTTGATAGTACTGTGCTCTTGCTTAGCAATTTGAATTTTAAACTGTGTTACTTATTTCAAAAGAAGCCAATCCCAAACATGTTCAAAGAGAACAACAGGTATTTCATTAAGAAGCCAAGAATATTACATAATGTGTATGGAAGCAACACATAAGATCGATGCATCTGCTACTGAGACATAAAACCATCTTACCAGAGTTAGCTCTATTACAGACACTGGGACTGGCTTATGGTAGCACTGTGAGCTTGGCCAACCTCTATCTTTTATAAAATAAAAAAATAAAATCTTGGCTGATTGTGGCATAGCACCCTTCATCAACACAGTAAGCAGTCTTCACATAGGCCGTGGGTCCTCAAACTAAGGCCCGTGGGCTGGATCCAGCCTGCCATGCCCATTTAGAAAAAGTTTGAGGACCCCTGACATAGGCCCTTCAGCAAAAGGAAAATGTGGACTTTGCCATACAATCCCATTCTCAGGGATGCTAATATGAAGCAGGCTTGACTATTGTAGCAGCTCCTTTTCTTGGTCACCAGGCAGAGGCAATTTGCAGAAGACTTGGTCTTTGACCAAGCATAGGATCTAGAGAAACTAACCAACCCTCAGACATTGCCCACTGCCAACGGTCATCAACACTGCAGTTTTTCAGTCCTACACTAAATCAGCAAAACTTTTAACATGTCAGAAAAAGGAAGAGAAGAAAAGAGGAGAAGAAGGCCTACCAGCAGGACTGCATCTACCCAGGGAACAAAAAAACCATTCTGTACCCAACAATCCTGGCAAAAACATCGTATCCCTAAAAACATTTTGGCAGACTGTCACACCAAGAATGGAAATTCACAATTAACACCAAGTTTCCCATGCTCCGCTGATAGTTGTGTGAGGCAGTTTTTGCTACAGAGATACAGCTAAGCCATGTATCCTCTTGGTGGTATTCTAACCTGTTTTTGACTAATGTTCAGGTAACTAGAAGATGGGGACTAGTGCAACAGTTCCTTACGCAGTTCCTTTCCTGAAGCAGGGACAGGGCTGAAGGAAAGGGAACCCTATTTTTGACATGAACATAAAATTAAAATTGCGCTTAACTCTCTCCTCACACCTAGCCCTATCTAAAATAGGAAAGAAAGGAAGAGGCCTGCTTTGCATATAAGGCTAACCTAAGTTTGTTGCCCAACTCAGCATTTTTCTGGCAGACAAACAACATTTGGCTTTCTCAATCCCTGGATTATTTGTTTCCTACCTCTTAGGCCTGTTCCCTCCATGTATCCCCAATGCCTGTAGTACTGATACGTAGAGCCGGATTTTTTATACTATTCTTGTTGGTCAGTTCTGAAGTCTGATGAAACAACCTATGAACAATCCAGATCCTGGATCTGCACATAATGACAAGCCATGGTTTAAACAACCTACAGTTCACAACTCGACAACCCATGGTTTCTTTTTATCAATTTTTGGTGAATTGTTAGCTTGGCTGCATTCAGACATCACAAAAACTCCGAATGCAACAACCCATTCCATGGGTTAGCATTGTGTGTGCAACAGACCAGGCAGAATTGGGGACAGGGACAATCCATCAAAAGCCTATTATCTACTAACTATAACAGTGGCCAGTTCACATGTCATAGTCATAAATCATGGTTAATTCACCATTTGTGGGAAATGCACAAAGCGTGCAAGCCTGTTTCTGTTTTGGGTAATTAACTTATGAATGTCCCATTCACAGACATTAGCATGAGATTTGAATCCTGACACTCTGGTTTCTTTATGGATTAAACAATGCAAAATTAGCCCAACAACAAATCAAAGGCTTACATACTGATAGCAGCTTTGCCCTAAGTTTGTACTGGGCACTGAGGGAATAAAGCATTTTAGGACAATAGTAGAAAGAAAGAATGAAATCAAATAGTAGTACTTTCCAAAGTAAAGTGCAATCTTTTTCTTAAGGTGCAAACCAAGTCTAAGATTTTCATTAGAAGGTCCCTTTGCTAGCCTAGCACAGCTACTGAGCTGACAGAACACACAATTTAAGATAGCTGGCCTGATGAAACACTGCCTATTACATTCTGTACATTTGAAAAATAATTGGAGAACACATTGAAGTAGACTTGTACAGCACAGTCTATATACTTTTTTCAGAGCAGTGCTGTAGATGTTACTAACATACCAAAAATATTGCTATTAATCTCTTTTTGGTTTTGACTAAGCAACCTCAACTAACAGTTCCCCATTCGGCAAAATGAATCATACTTAACTGGGCAAATATTTAGTGGGTATTGCCTCTCACATCACTAAGAGTCCCTTGCAGAAATTGTATCATGATGTATCTTAGGTGATCTTGATGAAGGATGCTAGGTCAAATTCCTGAAAGGCTCAGTGTCTTTTTTAAGTCTCTGAACAACAACAGCATTTTTTAAGTTAGCTTGCTCTAGTGTGAGAGATTCATTCAGCAACTCCCGAAAAGGAAGTGATGTGGTCAGCATGAAGGGACTTCTTCCTTGCTGTCTGTCATAATTCGTTATGAAGTCTCTGACGTGGCTTATTCTGAGAAGAAAAATAATATGGAAAATAATAAATTTGGTTTCTTACATCAATAGCTACAATGCAAACGCCTTAAGTTTTCAAGCAATTTAGTTTGCCACTTTGGAAGTGGTTTGTCTGAATTTCAGCTTCCTTCATAGCATGATAAATTTGCAAAAGCACACTTGGCAATGTGAGAATAAGGAATTGCTAGCAGGGATCAAGTGAAGGCCAAATCAGTTGCTGTATTGATTGTGTATAATTCACAAACAGAATATCAAAAACAGCAAAGATTTCCACCAATGCATTTTTGCTAGGGAGCTGCCAATGTTCAAACTTTTTAAGAATTTAAGCCACTTGGGCAACCACAGAAAACAAACAGGATCCTCATTCCTCCTGTCTACTCCCATGGGTCTCTGCTTCACTTAAAGGGAAATTCATGCATATTTAGCACCAAGATGAGGAGTGCTAAATATGATTTTTCACCATTCTTGCCGGGAGACTCTGTAGCCCTTTTCCAACAAGTCATGTGCAAGCCATCATACTAGATTTGCACAGCACAAGCTACCTTGAGCAACCAAACAAGCTATGGGGTCTCAGCTTGGCTTGTGGGTGATTAACGAATCACACTAAGTAAACTGCGCTGGGTTTGAACATCATACCTATATATTTTTTGTTGTTAGAAAAATCAATCAATTTTGGAAAACAAATCTGAAACTCAATTTTGGAAAACAAATCTGAAACAGTGTATCTGCAGCCTCATTCAGCACCTTGTTGATTTGTGTCAATGAGGCAAAAAAAAAAAAAAAAAAGAGGTGTGGTATGTTTTCCTAATTGGTTACAATGTGAGTAAACATTCTTTTCCATGATGGCACCACTGAAGAACCTTGCCCAGGGACAACACTTCAAGGGATGGGAGGAGCTCTGGATCTGGTAAAGGCCTCCTCCTGCCTTTTGCCAGAGGAAACTTCATGCCCACAGTTTTCTGCCTGAGAGTTGTGAGAGCCTTCTGAAGAATCCTTACTACATGCTCCTCCATATAGCCAGCCTGTTCCTGCTTAGTTCACCCCATCAGGAAGAGCAACTAACATAACCAAAATCTAACCAAAATGCAAAATAATGATGATGGTGGTGGTGGTGGTGATGGTGTTGTGTTTGAATCATGACTCCTGGCTTGTTGTGCCAAAGCCAGGAACTGGAAACCAGCTACAAATCTGGCATCAGGGTTTTGTTTGCTAGGGAACAACACATGAGGAGTCCTGGTTTGGAAGGATGCTAGGCTTCTTTCTGCTCCTTGGGATAGTCCCTGGCTAGTTTAGTCACATGTGCTGGCAGTAGGAACTAAGCAATGAAAGCTGGCACATTGTGAATACATCAGGATTCTTGATAAATTTGGCTTATCAGTATCTGCGTGGAAGACTTACCTTGCCTTTTTTAATGTTCCAGAATCTGAATATTAGACTTTTGTCACTAATATGAGTTCTTTAATTTGAGTGAGGGGACTTGAGACACAGTCATACATTTCAATAGTTGTACATTTACAAAAGATTTACAAATTGGCTCATTTGATCTTTGCATTTGTTCACTGATCTAATCTGCTTAGCACAATGAAGTTAAAATGTTCTTCTTAAAGCCTCTGCAGATATTTTAAGAGTCTTGCAATTATGTATATTTATTCAGAAATAAGTCAGTTTTATATCAACAGAACTGGAATTCATACTGGAGTAAGTAGAGAACAGGGAGGAAATAATAAAAAGGAGGCAGAGGAATATTCTGTGCATGGTGAAGAAGAGGATTTGACCCATTAAGAACCATTTCTCCTTCAAGAGGCATCTGCCTTCTAGCTCTAAGGAAGGCCTTCTAGTAACATCACCCTCTGTTCTCTTCCTGAAATACCTGTTAAAACAGAGGGTGTAATGGTAATCTGAATAAAGCAATAACGAGTTATCCATGACTTCCAGAATACTAAGAAAGCAGCAAAGTGTGTAAACCTGTTCAGAGCCAATCACTGACACCCCACAATTTTACCTGGACTAAACTGACACAAATCCAAAGACTTCTGATTTAATCAGCTGGTCCAAAACAAGAATTAGATACAGATTCAAATTTAGAAACTATCACATTTGGGACATAGACAAATGGTGGAATCAAGACAAATGGAGAATTTGCCTGACTATATGTTGTTAACTTAGTTTAATATGGTTTGTTCCAAAACTGTTAACCACAGCTTTGCAGTCTGTATGTAACTGTAAACGTGTGCTTATTCAAGACTGGTTTGTTTGTGGACTTGCTCAAACAGGAAGAGGGAAGGGGCTGTGTTTGTTGGCGGGGGTGGGGGGTGGGGAGCCTGCTCACTAAGCTGAGATCATCCAAACAAGGTCTAAGAGTCTGGTCCTGGTAGTTTTATTTTGGTTTCATACACAAAAGTTAGATGTGATATTATAGTTTGGAATCCATGCTGGATAAAACCCTGAAATTCAAAACCTAGGATACCAACTCATCCAAAATTGTAACAATATTGGTTTTCTTTCATACATTAAACAATTACGCCGTGTGCCATTTTATTACTGGTTGTCAATTTCATGCTTCTAAAAATACTTATTTCAGTTTTAGCCAAGGTTAAAATTGATGAGAAGCTAAGATTTTTCTCAGTCCAATAATCTAAAGAAACTCAGATTTACAAAGAAATAGGTTACAGAGAATTAGGTTACAATCCATACTAACCTGGGAAAACACTCCATTGAACTTAATGGAGGTTACTTCTGATTAAAATATACAGGATTGCTCTGCAAATATAATGGTGTGTAATATTATGTGTTCTTACCTATGAGAAATATTAAATTTTTGTACTATCCTTGTTCCATCAGCAAACCAGATCTGGACTCTAGTTATGGGTTCAGAATTATTTAACACCACTGTTGGTTTTCTCTTTTCAGTTTCTTCAACATCTCTTTCTACTTTAGAAATTATTCTTGGCGTGGCACTGTAAAGAGAGTTGGAATCAAACAATATTATAATACATCTTCACATTATAGCATAAGACAAACTAGATCTTTTCTTTTTGATGAATGTTCATACAGCCATCTTGCTCTAAATACTGTTAATAGTTTATACATAGTGTTTGCACAACATGCTGGTAGAATGCTTACATTAAAAATAATTAGGAGGACTCAAGTCCTCCTGCAAAATGGCAGGAGGGAAAAGGTACTGAGATTCTTTTAGCTGGGAAATATTAATTTAGGATAAGCAATCATATATAATTTAAGAAACGTTAAGCAATCTCAACTTGTTATTTGAAGAGAAATGTTTTATTTACCTGTGAAAATCATTTCTGTTAATGAACATCTCAGTTTTGGCTCACTTTGAAAAGCTGTATCTCATGGTAGTGTAAATGTTGTGCCTATACCATAGGAACCCTCTTTCTCTTAGGTAGAGAGGGTTTATTTTAGTTTTGTCATAGTTAAAAAGTTTTATATCTGAGACAGCATTCCCTACTTTTAAGGCCTAATTGAGAATTTTATTAAAAATGATGGTAGTGAGTTCTATAGTCCCAACTCTCCAAGTTTTTTTTAAACAAACATAAATGGGATAACCTATGTGCTAATCTGTCATATCTGGTGACAGTGCAGGATAACCTATAGCAAAACTACATTAAGAGATTGCTACTGCACCCAGGCAGAACAAGCCCAGAAACGGCTCTGCAGAACAAAAGCCAAATGTTCAAGAATGCACATTTTCTTCCATATTCTGATATGGTCACAATACTCCCATGCAGGGAGATGGGATGGCTTGGACTCATCCCTAAATTACTACCAATAAAAGGAATATCTGGTCAAGAATTTAAATAAAGAATGGAAGAAATAACTGTACTGGGAATCTTACAGAGAGGATTAAAAAACAAGTTTCTGATGACTTCATTATTTCTAGAGATTTCATATATCCAGTCTTTTTATAACATCACTTATTATATAGCGGAGGTAAAGGCTGAGTAACACCTTGTCTTAAATTCTAAAAGAAGGTATTTCATATCTAAAGCTGTTCCATTTTCCAGAAAAAAAAAACTTAGGGAAAAAGGAAGAAAAATCACATTCCCCCCCCCCTCCATTTTTTCCCAGGCCTTCACATTTGGAGGAACTGTAAAGTTGCTATGGGCACTATGGTAGCAGTTCTCATTTCTATTGTTCTAATATTCTTTAAAGACCATTATTTTGCTGGTGAATTACTGCTAAGTGTAGGATACTGAGTAGAGTGAGCATGCATGAGCCAAATGCAACAATAGCAGGGTGGGTTCTAAAGCAAATTTTCTATCAGGGATAAGTAATCTAAGGCTTCCCAGATGTTTTGGCTAACTCCCATCAGCCCTACGCAGCACAGCTAAAGTTGCAGGTTGACACTGGAGTGTTACAAGTTCTTCATATTTTAATTATCAGAAACATCAGGCTTCTTACCTTCCTAATCTATACCCTTGTCCAGAGAAAGGATGAAATGCTGGTTTCCTTAAAGTATACTCCACATCCTTCTTATCATCCACCTTCACATCCACCTCCTCCTTATCACAAATCTTTTGTAATTCAAGAGGCAATTCTCTTTGAAAACAAAATTAAGAAAGTGTCAATGCTGACAGTGATGGCGTTTCATTATGTAAAAGCATGATTCTATGCAACACCATAAAATTTTGTTTTCATTACTGTATACTCTTTTTCTTCTGTAGTATACTGTATACTTATGCTGGGCAATGATGGTATCCAAGCATCAGCATACCACACCTCAGTCAGTGAACACCCACCCCCCCCGCAAATATGTTCCAAAAGAAATATGAAACTCCCATCATTGCCTCTCTGCATATGTTTTTCCTTTTTGTTAGTTCAATGTCAAAAGGGGGAGCTATTTTCTACAAAAATCATAATTAAAATTTGGAAATCCAAATATATATTTTACTAATAACTATTACTTCCAACCCTTTACCAAGCCATCTCTTTATGGAGGGCAAATAACTAGATTTCCAACCATATATTAATTGAAATGTTATTGCTCTTAGTAAAAAGCCTATGAGATGCTTGTTTTTCTCACATATCCACACAGGAGGCAACTAAAATTATTGAGTGTCTTGAGTAACACTTTGTGAAGAACACTTACAACTTGGTAAAAAAAAGGAGACGTGATATAAAAAGGTGTACAAAATTATGTGTGTTGAGGAAAAACTGGATAGGAAAACATTTTCTTCTCTCATAATACTAGAACCCAGGGTCAACCCATGAAGCTGACAGATGGGAAATTCAGGGCAGACGAGTATTGCTTCATACAGCACAGAGTTCAATCATGGAATTAACTTTAACAGGATGAAGTTTGGCCATTGATTTGGATGGCTTTAAATGAGACTGGAAAAATTCATGGAGGAGAAGGGCACTGATGGGTACTAGACCCAGTAGCTATATGCTACCTGCAGTATCAGGGACAGTGGGCCTGTGAACACCAGTTGCTGGGGAACACAAGTGGAAAGGTGCTGTTTCACCCCTGTCCAGCATGTGGGTTTCCAGTGGGCAGCAGGTTGGCCACTGTGTGAACACAATGGACTAGATGGTGTGATCCAGCACAGCCCTTCTCATGTATCATGTCCCCTATGAAGCCATGGCCCTGGAGGTCCAAACTTCTTCCAAGCACCCTGCCTACCAATATGCCAGCTGCCAGCACTACTGATTTAGAGGACTCTCTCTCTCTATCCTTAGCAAGTGGAGCGAGATATACAGTCTTCAGGTAAACTCACTGTAGACTAGCAGACAGGATTTAACACAACATTTGTGTGTTTCTTTAAGCAGTCAACATTTAAAACAACAACAAATAATCGTAATATTCTAAAAAGCCAACCTCACATATCCACTTTAACAATTTCTCTCCCTCCTCATTCATAACCTGCCTGTGATTCTATCCACTAATTTAACTAATTCGGTCCCTAATTCCTCTTACTATCTGTTGCCATCCTAACTTGCCATCCTATAATGAATACATAATGAATAACACAGCTCCCTCTTTCCCTGACCTCTCCCAAGTTCATAGAATCATAAAAGAGTTGGAAGAGGCCATGAAGGCCATCGAGTTTAACCCCCTGCTGTTGCAGGACATCATGTTACACCATCCCACTCAGATGGCTGTCCAGTTTCTTTCTGAATGTCTCTAGTGTGGGAGAGGCAAAGGGACTGCAGGTGGTGCAGTGGTTTAAACTGCTATGCTGATAGGCTGGCTGATCGAAAGGTTGCCGGTTTGAATCTGCACAACGGAGTGAGTCCCTGTTGCTGTCCCAGCTCCTGCCAACCTTGCACTTCGAAAGCATGCAAATGCAAGTAGATAAAAAGGTACCACTTTGGTGGGCAAGTAACAGCGTTCCGTGCACTTTGGTGTTTAGTCATGCCGGCCACATGACCACGGAGACTGTCTGTGGACAAATGCTGGCTCCCTCGGCTAGGAAACGGAGATGAGCACCGCCCCCTAGAGTCAGGCATGACTGGACGTAATGTCAAGGGGAAACCTTTACCTTTACCTTTAGTGTGGGAGAGCCCACTACCTCTTTAGGCAGCTGGTTCCAGTTAGCCCTGTCCTCCTCCTAACTGGCTTTTTGAAAGTGCCAGGAGCTTCACCTGATGTTCTCAGCAGTCAATCATTCCCTCCATTTACTCCTTTCCTACAATTTGTTCGAATCTCAATACAGAAACTGGGATATCAGCTTGTTCATAGTAGATACAAGCAAAAGCTGTAGTTCATGTAGACAGAGTAGAAGCAAATCAGCAGTGCATATGCTGTATTAGTGAATTTAGCATGGGAAACAAAGCTGACTTGCCCTTTTTTAATTGAGTCCAAGAAGCGCTGGTTTGCAGTATCTTTATAGCTTCGGAGTTCACCATCATTCACTGTGAACCCATTTTTCCATAATTTAATAGTTGTATCAGCCTGTGAAGTGTAATCACAAAGAAATATTAGCTCACCACAAAAATAGATCCTATGATACTTGCAAAAAAATGCAGGAACCTAGGAGGAGAGAAAGAACCCTACTTTACATCAGATCGAGCACAGAATTATTGACACTGGCCACACTGATTCTTCATGGTTTTAGTGGAGCTTTCCAGACTTACCTAGAAATGTCAAGGACTGAACTGGGGACATGCTTCATGCAAAGCAGGTGCTCCGCCACTGAAGTATGCCGTCATCACACTGGCTCTGCAGTAACTGGCCCTGGGTCTACCGTTACAACTACTACGAACATGAAAGAATGCCCTGACAAATTCCTCTGATATCAAGACAAAAATATTATACCTAAAGCATTTAGAGTGTAAAGGGCAATTTTATTAAGCTGCTGGGGTTAAAAAAAAGGACATGTGTCCTCCTTTGTCTCACATGGGCCATGCACATACATTATATACATCAGGAGAATTAGCAACAGCAAAGTTTACACTGAAAGAGTTTATACCATTCATGTTGTTGTTCCACCTATCCTGTCTTCACACAGAGTAACCCATGTCTTGCTGATCACTGCACTGTTTATTCTTGGCAAATCACTTTCATTTTCCCATAAACACTTCCTTACGGTGCAAATCTTGCAATATAAAGTGCTATGGAGATGTTTGGATAGACAAGATACTACATGGGCCCTGGCTTTCTTATGATGTATGGCTATATATTTACATGAGAGATATCCATGTGTGCACAGCACCAATGTGCTGACAGACTTGCTCTGGGAGTAGAGTAAGTAGGAAACTAAATGTAACCTCATGAAAATAGATCAACAGGGGATAATGTGTTCAGTAATAAAGTTGCATCAGGAATGTAATGAGCAATGTTCAAAAACATCTGTCTCTGCACTGCATAATCTAAGCTGGACATAATTCAAGACTTTTAAGGTATAACTAGGTTCACTGGATTGAACCTATGCAGTTAAAAGGATTTCATTCTAAGACATGACTCCCTTCAGATGTTCCAGACCACTGGTCCCCAGATTTTTTTGCACTACCATTCCCTTTCTCTTGGACAACAATCCTAGTGCCCCCATGCCTCTTCCTTGGTATTAGGTTTGTTGCAAATTTAAAACAACCAATCACTCCCCCTGGATCTTTCCACTGCCCCCAGAGGGGTGGTACTGCCCACTTTGGGAATCTATGTTCTAGACCATTTTATAGGAATACTCCAGAGATAACAAGGTTGGAAGGGACCCTGAAAAAATGGCAGTTGGCAATAGCACTGTCATTAGTTTCCATTTTAACTTTCCACCCAATGACCGAAAGTGCTGCCACACTGGGTTAAACTGGTGGTTGCACCGAGTTGCTGAACAGTACTTTGAACACTGAGCCAGGAACTAAAAAAAAAAAAAAAAACTGGCAGAGTCTAAGTCAATGGTGATGCTAGTCAGTTGGCCCTGCTTTCCCCAAAATACTGCATTCCAAGGTGGACTCTGAATCCTCTCTTTGTTAGTTGGGATTTGGGTTAGTGGATGAAGAAGTAATTCCCATGGAGAGTATGCTTTGCTTAAAACATAATGGCTACATTTTGCAAAACTGAATTCACTTACTTTATTTTTTACTGTCGTTTGCTGTGTACATTCAGCTCCAACTTTCTGAACTTCTTCAAAAAGGCTATCAACAAAAATATCACCGTCATTCTGTTCTGTACTCTTCTGAATTTGGCCATCAGGGTTTGGTTTACAAATCCTACAAAATAAGAAGATAAAAATCTAAAGCTATATGCAACTATTGTTTTAGTGAAATTTCATGCAACAAAAACACTTAAGTTTCCCACTGTTCAAAATGAACCCTGAATATGTATTGTTGGTACTACTTCCTTGGAAAAATGTATGCTTTGTAGTCTGTGCTTTGGTCCTGTGTGTGCCACAATTTATGCTCCTGTGCTTGTTCAGTTGATGATGTGGTTCACATGATCAAAATATGCCTCAGTGGGAGATTGTTAATGCCTCCTTAAGAGAGGGAGTGATGCCACCTACTTGAAAAACTGTGGTGATTGCACCACTCCTAAAGAAACCTACCCTAGACTCAGCTGGTGTGAATAACTTTTGAACCAATTGCAAACATCCCCTATTTGGGCAAAGTGAATGAGGTGTTGTGGCTGGACAGCTCCAGGCTGTTCTGGAGGAAACGGATTGTCTAGATCAGGGGTTGGCAACCCACGGCTCCGGAGCAGCACGTGGCTCTTGAATCCCTCTGCTGCAGCTCCGTCACTCAAAATACGTGTCACAGCCGCCGATCTGCAACCCACGCAGGCACGGCTGTAACAGTTTTTAGTGACTGAACAAGAGCTGCAGCTAAATCATAATGAAGATATAGATCTACTTCCTTGTTTTAAGAAGATTCTTATAAAAATTCCAGCAACATTATTACACTGGGAGAGTATGTTTGTTCAAGATTTCACCAGACATTTATATTTGTTGTATTGCAGAAACTCTACTTACTGTATGAAAGCATCAGTTAGTCCTTTTTTTATTCAGGTTGACAGCTGACTGCACCCTCCAGTACACGTGATAAAAGGATGAAGGTACACAGAAGCAGATGGCATGCTTCAGGTTAATAATTTAAGTTTGGCTTTTTATTTCATAAATATGAGGAGGACTCAAACAGACACTGAGTATTTTATTTGAAAGTAACCTTCAACCCAGCATCTTTTTTTTCTGAGTTCAAAATGTTTTTGTTGCATGCAGAAATAAAAATGTGTTTTCTCTGTAGCAGTTCATTGATTTCAAAAATACAACACACTATAGTTTTTTAATACATAGCATAAAGGTAAAAAATGATATATGCAGTGTTATCTTCATTTTAGATGTCAAAAGGGTTTTTGCAGCTCCCGGTGTTTTCTTTTCTGTGGGAAATGGGTCCAAATGGCTCTTTGAGTGTTAAAGGTTGCCGACCCGTGGTTTAGATCTATTTTAATCAGACTTCAGGCCTGAGTTTGCAACAGAAACAGCCTTGGTCATCCTGTGGGATGACCTTTGTCAGGAGAGAGAAAGGGGGAGTGTGACCCTGTAGATTCTCCTGGACCTTTCAGCAGTTTTCAGTACCACCGACCTTGGTATCCTTTTGAAGAAGCTGGCCAGACTGGGACTTGGGGGCATTGCTTTGTGGAGGTTCCACTCCTATCTGGTCAATCATCTCCAGATGGTGTTGCTGGGGGACTACTGCTCTGTGCCATTGCTTTTGTGCTATGGAGTTCCACAGGGGTCCATTCTGTCCCCCATGCTTTTCAATATCTACATGCAACCGCTGGGAGAAGTCATCCAGATGTTTGGGCTGAGGTGCCATCAGTACATTGAGGATACTCAGCTCTACCTCTCATTTTAATCGAATTCAAGTGAGGCAGTGACTGCTCTTAACCAGTGCCGGAGCTTGATAATGGACTGGATGGGGGCCAACAAGCTGAAGCTGAATCTGACAAGATGCAGGTACTGTTGGTGGGAAGTCCATTTGTCCAACTGGGGAATTTTCAACCTGTGCTGGACAGGGTTGTACCCCCCCCCCCTTAAAGGATAAGGTACACGGCCTTAGAATGCTCCTGAAGTCCAAGTTGTCACTTGTTTCTCAGGTGGACTTGGTAGCCACAAACATTTCTTTTACCAGCTTAGCTTGGTCTATCACCTGTGTCCCTTTTGAATGAGAAGAGTCTTGCTATGGTTATCCATGCACTGGTAATCTTGTGCCTGGATTACGGCAACATGCTCTATGTGGAGCTGCCTTTGAAAATGGACTGGATGTTGCAACTAGTCCGAAATCAGGCAGTGCGTCTGCTGACTCAGACTGGATTTAGCAAGCACATCTTGCCAATCTTTTGGAGGCTGCACAGGCTGCAAGTTGCCATCCAGGCCCAATTCAACTTGGGCTAGGATATCTGAGGGGAACATAATAGATTGATCGATCTATTATTTATTTATATTAATTTATTTTAAAATGTGTATACTGTTCATTCAGCCATGTCAGTTCTCTGAATGGTTTACGTTCAATAAAATACAAAAATATAATACAATGTATTAAAAACAACAACAGTCAATAAAGCATTCCAATTAAACAATAAGCAAAACTAAACTTAACAATTTGGAACATAATGAAGCAGATGAATAAATACAAAAATACCAGCAGAAAGCAAGAATAAAACAAAGTAGAACAAGGACCTGGCTATAGGTCAGGCTATAGGTATTAATGAAACGTCTCCGTATCACTTAGATCTTCCTCAGGGGCCCTCCTTTGAATCCCTCCCCGCAATGAAGTAAGGGAGATGGCAAGGAGAAGAGCCTTTTCTGTAATAGCACCATGTGGAACATCCTCCCATGTGGGTTAGATTTGCCAGGGGTCTTCCCTTTTTACATTCAGACATCTGTTGAAAACAATTCTTTTCCGTAATTATTTTGGTAAGTGGAATTGTTTTTATTATGGTTATTTTATGGGTTTCATTGATGTTACTGCCCCATTAAAAGAAAAAGAAATTTTACTTGCCAAACACTTTAATGCATAGGATCGTTTAAAACTGATTATATTAATGTGAATTTAGCATTATGTCAATGCTGCTTTTTATCACTGCTATTGCTTAACTTTTATTGTTTTATTATTCACTGTTTGTATTGATTTGTTCTACTGTTCTGTTTTAATGTAATGCAATATAATGTAAGCAGCCCAGGGAGCCTCATGGCTATGGGGTGCAGCATACAAATGCAGCAAACACACAAGGAAAGCATTTGCTGCTCCCTGAATATAGATATAGCCACAATTACAGGAAGCACATGTTTACCTGCTCTGCACACAGAGCTCATTTTTAATTGTTTTTGAAAAACAAAGGATCTTCGGCAAAGAACAGGCCTGTTCTTTAATAGCCCACATACCTCAACACTTTCTAATAAGGGAGAAGCTTAATGATGTGGTGCAACAAACACCCTAACACTGGCTTTCGCCTACAGCAGCTCTGTCCTTCAAGAAGGAAGGAAACGCTGAACAGGAAACAGGCCAGCCTGAAAATGCATTTAAGGTTCTGCTGAACAGAGGGTTTTTTTTAAAGGATGCACCCAAGTAGTAATAATTAAGGCCTTGCTTGACTGGCATTACTATCAGCACTGTCACAAATTTTATGGCAGTTAGCTAGGGTAGTTGAGTCATTCCAATATCAACATTTCCTTGGCCAGATGTCAGTAGACAAATCAGGTGTGCATAACCTGTGGGCACTACGGACTGGGTTCAGGTAACATGATAACTCACACTTGCGATAAATGTGGGTTGCTGCTGAACCATGTTGCTTGAACCCGGCTGCACTAATAAGACATGGCTTGTTAATCACAACCCATGAGGCAAGCCTATGCTGGGTTGTAAACTGGGGGTTTTTCATCATGGTTTGTTTTCTTGGCTGGGCTCAGGCAACATGGTAATCCATGTTTCAGTGAGAACCTACACTCAAACCTTGAGTAAGGTTGTTGCTTTCACACTGTATGTATCCACTAGATCCCAAATCTCATCTCTTGTCCAGACACCCAAATAAGTCCCCTTATAGATTCTATCAAGTCCCCCCCCCCCCCGCAACACACGCAGTTATACACAGGCCTTCTCTCAAACAGACCCCAAATGGATTTCCCAGCCCTTCCATGATAAGTACCCACCATGGCAATTCCCAAGCCTCTTCATTTGTTACAGCATGTTAGATGCATAGAGAATGGTTCTACCCCACCTGAGTAATGAAAAAGCAGAGTGGGGGAGAGGGAGACAAAAAAGAAGTGTGATTTATGTTTACGTCTGCATGGCCAATGTTTTAAGATGGAATCTACCAGGAAATTGCAGACATTTAAGTTAGGCTCCACAAGATAGTCAGTTTCATAATATATCTGTCTGTCTGTCTGTCTGTCTGTCTGTCTATCTATTTAAAACATTTCTATGCTGCCCCCATCGCAATAAAGCCTCGGGGCGGCTCACAAAAAATACAAAAAAACATTACTAAATAATAACAATATAACAATTTAAAAGAAAAAAAAACATTTAAAACCCCCGGTGCATTCTCGGCTAATTTAAAACCCTAATAAATACAATAATTTAGCAATTAAAATAAGTTTTAAATAAAAAGGTCTTAGCCTGGCACCGAAAAACAAATAATGACGGCGCTAGGCGGAACTCTCTGGGGAGCGCATTCCATAGATGGGGCGCCACTGCAGAGAAAGCCCTCCTCCGGGTACTCACTCTCCTAATATCATTCATAGAGGGTTCCTGGAGAAGGGCATCGTTGCTGATCTCAAGGGGTGGGAGAGCATCTATGGGTGCAAGCGTTCCTTTAGATATCCAGGTCCCAAGCCGTTTAGGGCTTTATAGGTCATAACCAACACCTTGAATTGGGCCCAGACTTCGACTGGGAGCCAGTGGAGCTGAAGGAGAACTGGGGTTATATGAGAACAACGCCCAGTCCCTGGCAGCAACCTGGCAGCTCTATTCTGCACCAATTGAACAGTATCTAGGACTGTTCTTTTCTGCCCAAAAGTCCTACGCGCAACCTGAAATAATTGTCAACACCCAGAACAGCCCAGTTTGAATGTCTGTAATCTTACTCCACATGTTATATTACCATGCAGATTTCATGATTTCAGTATCCAGTCATCCTTTTTTCTTTTCTCCCCCTCACTCAGCTGCTTTTTGCCATTTCAAGTCTGGTGAACGAATCTGGACATCTAAAAAATTCCCCGTTTTGGTGACATTTAAGTCAGCCTAATAGTTCTCTAATATGGATTCTGGAATATTATTTTAAATGTAGGAAATCTAAGTCAATAGAAGAAAAAGGCAGCATAGCTAAACACACCTACCATTCTTGTTTCAAAGTTTCAACGTTGTCGACTTCTTGCATCCTGCTTCACCTAATATTGCAAAATATATATATATATATATATTATTCTAATGCCAAGTATCATGCATTTATCTGATAGCACTTTTGAACCCACAAAGTAATTTGATTACAGTACAGGCTGCTGTGTCCAGAAGGTCTCCATGACATTTGAAAGATGATTAATTTCTGCCAAAGGGGCCTGCCAACTATGTAATCCTAACCTCTGCCGTGAACTCTTTAAATGGGATAAGAATGCAAAAATCCCCCCTGCATTTTTCTGTTCTCCCTCTTTCCCAGCTTCCAGGGGCCTTCACATAGTATCTTCATGTATAAACTAGTGACACAGAAGCATGACAGACAATCCCCTTGCATATAATCAGTATTAGCAGTAGTCTCCACAACTCGCAAGTTGGCACTATCCATCAAAGGAAACCTATATAGGCAACCAGCCTTCAGTAACTTTGCAAGAAGCACTGGCAAGGAAACTAAGCACACGTGCTTACTGTTATGGCAACTAAACACTACATCTATTAACACAGCTAGGCAGCTGTGACCAGAGACAAAGTTTCCAAGCCAATATGCTCATCTAGGAACATACATGTTGTTCCATCCCATATGATTGCCTCCCCCAAGGAAGAACATTCACTCAAATAACTGAACACATATAAGTAGGAGCGGGAAGCACGTTACATAAGCCAGTGGGCCAAAAACCATTTGCACTGTTTTAAATGTACCCCTTAACACAGGGATCAGAACCACAATCGCAGGGGTCAATTCCATCCCTTAAGAGTTTGCCCAGTGGTCCTTCCCCCTTTCTCCCAGCCACCAATGATTCTGTGGCTTCTGGCTTTTGTGTAGCTTTCCCACATTCTCACAAGTTTGAAATGCCTCTCCTAAGGAAATAAGAGACTTAAGCTGTATCATGTCCCCACCCTTTATATTCAGCCCCACTTAACACTGGAATGCAACCTCAGAGAGTTTTTCCAAGAGAATTTAGCTCTCAGTCTGATAAAGTTTGGTACCCCTTCCTTAATGTAACTATCTTTGTATCAGTGGTCAAGCACTGCAAACTAATTTTAACCTGCATCATCTCTGCTGCAGACACCCATCCACTACTCAAAAGGATGCTCCACCTGATGCCACAAAAGAAAGCAAAAATATATCTATTACACCTATCAGCTGCTGAGAATGGTGGACCACTGGAAGCTGTTGTGTGGGGATGCTAGAGCTTAGCCCATTTCTTACAGTGATCAATAAAAGACACCAGCTACAGAAGTGTCTTGGGATTAAAGAAGCAGTTTTAGTTATTTATTTTTAGTGTACTTTCAAACTCATCCATTAGCCCCTCCCCAATAAACCAAGTTCTTAGAGAGGTAGAGGTGTATGATGCATTAAAAATAGCACATCATAAAACTAAAGTAAAACCAGCTGAAAAGGGTAAGAACACTACATCTCATAACAGAAAAGTTAAACCAACTGCAAAATAAAAGTGTTCTAATGTATACTCACTAAAACAGTTCTTAAAATCCCTGGGGAAACAAATTTTGAAAATACATTCCCTCCCATGAAAAAACAACAGCTTTGGTCAGACCAATTCTGAATGAGAAACAGTTGCTTTCCCTCACTAAACAGCTCTCTTCTGGCTGCATTCAATAAATAATATCTCAGGAAATTCAACTGCAGATCTTCTGTGTCATGCAGAGTGCAGAACCTCAGGGTTTCTGCTCCCAATCCAGATGTCAGATAGCCATGCCCCCTTTCCCTGGCAGCTTCCCTTCATCATTTGGTGATCTGCTGCTTTTGCAGGTTTTTCTCATTTTAGAAAGGCTGACATTCCTCTCCTAAGCCTTAGTGACCAGAACTAAGAGCTTTAGGAGAAAAGCCACTGGTATTTTTTGCCCAGCCCCTTTTGCCTCCATCTTCCATCCCCACTAGGATGCAACCCCGGAGAGCTTTTCCATATGGGAACTTGACTCCAAGCCCCATCCTCTGGAGGAATCCCCTTCAAGGGCCGGGAGGCCTAGTTCTGACTTGCATGCACTGGGGAGAGGGACTGCTCTTCCCTGCACGGGCAACTCCCAATGCTCCTCAGTATAGGACTGGCGATAGTGGTGGAGATGCAGAGCCACAGGGGCCGGTGCTCACCTGCATGAAGAGGAAGCATCTCACTATTCCTACCTCCATCCCCACATCTGCCTCCAATCTCAGATCAGAGATTGCCACAGGGAGGAGGAGCAGCAGAATGGATTTTCTACACATGCATTTCTATGTGTAGACCATAAGGAAGGCTGAGCGCTGAAGAACTGAGGTCTTTGAATTGTGGTGCTGGAGGAGATTCCCAAGAGTCCCTTGGACTGCAAGGAGATCAAACCAGTCAGTCTTAGAGGAGTTCAACCCTGACTGCTCCTTAGAAAGCCAGATACTGAAGATGAAACTCAAATACTTTGGCTACTTAATAAGAAGGAACAAGTCATTGGAGAAGACCCTGATGCTGGGAATGATTGACGGCAGAAGGAGAAGGGGACGGCAGAGGATGAGGTGGCTGGATGGAGTCATCGGGGGAGTGGCTGTGCGCTTGGGTGGACTCCGAGGGATGGTGATGGACAGGAGAGCCTGGAGAAATGTTATCCATGGGGTTGCGATGGGTTGGGCATGACTTTGCGACTAAACAACAACATGTGTACTTTCACTCAACAAACGCTTTTCTAAATTTACTTTAGTCCAAAACACACATCACTGATAAGATTTCTTTGAGTCAAGACTTCATTGTAAAATTCAGAGAAGTGTAAACTCAGATGGATAACTGAGCTCTGATAGTGACACATCAGCATGGATGGTATGGATCAGGCCATTCATATCAGAATGTGCAAATAACAAATCCATCAAGCATCTCCAGTTCTAGTGTCTTCACAGTAGAGGAGAAGTGAGACTACATGGGGACATCTCTACTTTTACACAGTAGTCTGAGCCCCTTATTGGCCTACAGAAGCAAGAAAGTACTGCTTGGGCTGTCTCTAAAGATAAAGAGTTCCATCTCTATATATGGCAGAAAATTAGCAGGCCAAAGAACTTTTTCTAACAAAAACATATACTTGTTTTGGTAGATGTAACATAAATGTCCAATACAGTTGGAAAATAAAGCCATCCTTTGTCTGTGTTTGAACTACATCTGTTTTCTAATCCTGTTCTTTGGACTAAAGGCATATAACAAGGATCCTTGGATCCCAAGACTTTAAAAATAAAAGTATTATTTGTTTACACAAATGAATCTCCCCCACCATTTAAAAAAATAAACTGTTTGAGTTTTCTTTCCTTCTCTCCCCTCCACACACTTAACCTTCCACTGCAGCTTCAAATATACTCTCAGTCATCCAAATGTATATTCGTTATTTTGCTGGCAAGATGTTTTACCAGGGTTCCAAAAATATGCCATCGAGACTGTGATACAGACTAGTTTGGTGTCTTATTGCTCTTTGGGCCAGAAGAAGTATTATGCAGATTTCCTCAACAGCAAGAGGTATACTTTGAAGGTAAAAGAGAATAAAGTGCAGCATCAAAAGTGGCTATCAAAATGCTTTTAACATTTTCAAGCCAAATACAATTCTACTATAGAGGCCTAATATAGGCTAGCTCTCTGCCACAAGAAGCCCAAGTACTCAAAAATAACAAAGGCAACAACAACAGAGAGCCTTGTGACACTTTAAAAACTAATACATTTCTTTGTTCTTGTTAGTCTTTAAGGAGTCACAAGGCTCTTCATTGTTTTTGCTGCTTGAGACTAATGCAGTTACCACTCCAGTATGTACTGAAACACTAGAGTAGAAGTGTGTTCAATGCTATTGCTTTGAAACCATCATCATTGCAAGACCTACCTCAGAACAGCTACCAACTGTGGAGGCTTCAGTATTGAGAAAATAAACTTTCTGTTTGTCAGCACTCTTAATGGCTTCAGTTTGATAGCTTGGGACTTGCTACTGGAGGATTTGGATACACTCTTAAAGCACAATAATTGGCACTGTCTATTCACCTACTGGATTTTCACTATTTCGGGATGGACAGGTCCTAGTGCTAACAGTCGTAAGATACTGTGCAATTCCTTGATGAATTTTCAACTGTAGGGAAAAAAGACGGAAGAAGAGGTAGATGAATACTTGGAATGTTACAAGTGGAAACTGTTGTGAATGAAAGAGGCAGTTATTCTTGGAGTGCTTCCCAGGGATGAGGACTTTTTTGGAAGACTCTTGGATGAACACTGTGAGGGCTGGGAAGAGAGTGGGAACATAGAGATGGCGGAGGTGGGTGAGGTTATCTCAACACCTCCATTCCCAGGTGTTCAGGCAGACCTTGGGAACAGACAGGGTTTGGAAGTGCAGGGAGAGACATGGGAGAGGAGCAGAAGACTGGTTGGGTTCCTGACACCAGGAGAGAAAGGCTACCCAGTCAGAGGGCCTGTGTAGATCCAGGAGGATAACCCTTCTCCAGAGGGGCACAATACGGGTGACTGAAAAGGAGGGCTCTTGGAAACAGTTTCTAGTTTGGGTTCAACAAATTGCTCTGTTCATGCAGAGAGACTCGTCTTCTGGGGGTTATAGTTTGCTAGCTGTATAATGGAAATAAAGAGCTCGTAAGCAAAACGACTATTGTTTGGAAGGAATTAAGGAGGAAATACAGCTCTTGACAGAAGCTGTCATTGCACAGACTTCTTGTAAAATTCTGTGAATGAGGCAGGACAGGGTGATAGTGGGAGTAAAGCCTCATCTGGAACCACTAGCTTCTAAGCTGTTTACTTGGAAATACATCATATTGTTTCAGGTATTGCACATACACATATGTGCATGTGTGAAGAAGGGAATGCAATTGTAGCATGCTTAGACCAAAAAAAATAAATCCCACAGCTCCAGTTGTAGCACTTTTCTTCTGCCTAAGCACACACAAGATCACATCCTTAAGGTATTTACTGTGCTATCCTTTGTCTAGGAAAAATTCCACCCACTGAGTTCAGTGAGGCATACTTGCAGGTAAGCAAGTACA